CGTCACCGGCCTTCAGAAATCTTGGCAATGTGCCAACCAAAACCTTTAAGAACACACAGGCATGTTGGGTGCTGTACATGTGTCGATTGATGCTGTAGAGGGGCCGAGGAGGAAGAGTGACTAAAACCGGCCCTATTATTGGTATCAACGGTTGCAACACGTTTAGAACTTAGATTATATAAGCGGTTTAGACGGACGTCGTCACTCGTTGAGAGAGTTGCCGACGGCAATCAGAGATGTGGGGAAGCAGTCTAGCTTTTGTGGTACGGATAAACGGTTATGCTGGCAGATTAGATGCAGTTGTGATGATGATGCCTGAGAGATTTGTCATTCAGCGTTGTATCGAAGTACGACCGACCACTCGTCTGTCTAGGTTTGATCACGACTAAAGTAACCTAGATTCAGCGTAGCTACTGCCTAGATGTGTACTGTTGTCACTGCCTGGCCGCGTAGTGTTACCCCATCCACGGCCATATGCCACCCGCGCGCTTGTCTCGAGCAACTTCACATCTAGCAATAATCCTGCAGTCGTCTTCAGTCGTTAGTAGTGATGCGGATGTTAGAATTACACGGCAGTGGTGGGAGGCTGGCTGTTCGTGCGTGCGTAGGTGTTTGCGCGCGCGAGTGGGTGCGTATGTGTGTGTGTGTGTGTGGGTGCGTTTGTGTGTGGGTGGGTTTGTGGCGGTGATGCGCGTGTGGCTGCGTATGTTTGTGCGTGCGTGCGTTTGTGGCGGTTGTGCGCGTCCAGGCGCGCGTTGTGGGGTTGCTGTGCGTGTATGTGTGTGTGTGCGTGCATGCGTGCTTGCGTGCACGTGCGTGTGCCTGTGTGTGCCTGTGTGCGTGCAAGTGTCCGCGTGTATGTGTGCATGTCTTCGTGCATATGTCGTAGTGTGTGAATGTGTGTGCGCGCGTGAGTGCATGCGTGCCGGCGTGCACGTGTGTGCGCGCGCGTGTGTGCATGCGTGTATGTGCCGGCGTGTACGTCTGTGTGAGCGCGTGCGTGCGTGTGTGTGTGCGTCCGCGCGTGTGTGCGTGCGTGTGTGTGCGTCCGCGCGTGTGTGCGCAGATGTGCGTGCGTGCGTGCGGCAGTGGATGGGCGTGGGCAAAGCGGCCAGTGGCCGGCTCAGCTGCGGAAGGACTGTGCGTGACCTTCACGCCGGGGTGGGGGTGGCGGGGCGGAGAAAGTTCGGTTAGATCTAGATCTAGACAAAAAATAGCGTCGCTCTAGATTCGCCACACAAAGCCGTGATTCAAGTGGCATGCCTTCGCTGTAGCTGGCTAGAGCGCACGCGCGCGGTGTGGGGGAGGGGCGGTGGCAGCCCGGACCGGCCGCGCTTTTGACGAGATATCTCGCAATTTGTGTGTAAAACCTTGTTAATGTTATTCACGGTTAATTAATGGTTGCTGCTAGGGGATTGGCGCGTGCGTCCATATCGCATCAGTCGATGCATTCCCTTGATTGCGTTTAGAAGTACCGTCGAGTAAGAGGGCATTTTACAAGATTTCTCACGTTTTGTGTTCGACTTTGTAAAAGCACATTAATTGGAGTTAATGGTTATGGTTGCTAGGGTTTTTGCTCGCACAAACGATGCGTGCGTTTGATTGCATTTATAAGTAGCGGCGAGTAAGAGACTAAGAGTATGCGTTGCGAGAGATCCCAGGCTTTGTTTGATAGTGTGAAAAGACAGTCGCAGCTTAGGGGTTATGGTCAGGGTTGTTAGGGCTTTCACTCGTTCATCCACACCACTTGGGACTATGTTGTCTTTACATGATTGCATTTATAAATACCGTCGAGTGAGAGTGTGTATTGTGAGATGTCGCAGCCTTTATGTTGGATATCGTGAAAACAGGGTTGCTAAGGTTTCAATCGTATCGTGGATCTTGATCACGTCAGGCATCTTTGGTGCATTATATCGCGCCGGAGCGCTCAGAATGCCGGTGGTTTCTGCCGGGTTTCCCGTGGACGCGTGAAGCGCTCGGAACCGTACTCAGGGCCGTTCACGCGTTCTTCCTCGGACTGGGCTGGCATCAGGCATCAGGTGTGAAGTGCAGCTTGTTGCCGTACACACGCATGCGCGCTCCACGCCGTCATCACCCCCCAACTCTCGTGTGATTATGTGTACCGTAGCAGCCGTTGATTGAGTGACTGATTGACTGGGTACTATCAGGAGCTAATAATGACAATGTTATATTATCTACTCTTGGTACTATTGAAAAGCGTTTGTGTAAACACAGCCGTGGAAATAAGTCTGAAAAGCCAGCCATCTCATTTATAACGTTTTTTAGTTTTTAATTATTTTAAGTACCTTATACTTAAAGTGTAATCTAAAAAAATTCGCCAGTCCTGAGATTAGAACACAGGCTGCTATTTCCACAAATTTCGAACATTTAGGCAAACATTTCGAAGGCAATTAGTCTATATATTGCAGTAATAAATTCAGAAGTTCGCCAGGACTGCTTTGTTGCATGTGGACTCTTGCCGAAGTTTATTCTGAAAAGATTGAGAATTCAGTTTCCGGTATCATTATGCTAATGAATGGTGTGTATCACGTGCAATAGCTGTTTATCAGTGGAACCTAATCATTCTCCTTAATTATGATCCACTATCACACGAGGATACTATAAACATGAGGGGGTTGTTTTGCATCTCCTCTCTGCCGGAACGTACCCTGGTAACTATTTGATATGGTTAGGGTTAGGGTTAGGGAGTAGGCGTAGGCGACTCCCTAGACTCGTTAGTGGAGTAGGCGAGGTCTCCTGATATTAATTACATATATTAATATAGGTGACTGATAATTATAAATAATGAATAGTCAAAGATATATATATGTCTATATATATATTATGTGTGTATATATATATATATGTGTGTATTTATTATATATATTAGAATAGTATATATAGATTGTAATATAATATGTGTCCTGTATAGTATATTATTATATGCTGGTATTATATTATATATGATTATCGTGCTGATATATATTATTATATGTGTGTACGAGCAACTGTAGGCGGCGGCTGATAAGTACTAGCGGCTAACTGTTGACAACATATAAAGTGCCTATCTGAAAGACACATATCTGGTAGAGCAATGTGAGATTCGAACCCAGGGACATTTCAGCGCAAATATTCTGGGTGATAACCATAGTATCCAAACACTGAACCTCATTTCTTTTACGAACCAAATATCTCGCCAGATATCATACACATTTGGGACATTGAGTCACTTCTCTCTTGAGCAGTGGCAGCTAAGATATACCCAAAGTGAAAGACTTCTGCTGTTGTTAGAAAATATGACTGATTAGCTATCCTTTCATGCACGCCACTATCCAAAGGGACAATATG